ATAGACCGTTTTCTAAATATTGCGTGCGCATTTAACGGGCCACAAATTTGAAAAACGCAAATTCAGTAAAATCGAGAAGCTAGTTTTGCTTAAAGAGGAGAATAATCAAATTATGAGTTCTTTAATTCTTCAATTCAAATCTTGAATTCTTATCAAAACAAAATTGCATTAAAATGTATGATCATTCTCATTATAAAGCTATTGTTCTGGAATGCGCACGCAACCTTGAGAAAACGGTCATTACGATTTCGATTCCGATTTCGACGCTAGTGTGAGCAACTTACTAACTCTGCAGTTGTAGTGTCACACTTCGACGAAGAGGAATGTTATACGTCATAGTGTAGTTTAACGTGTACTTTATATAATGTACTTGTACTTGTCAGGGTACACAGGTATACTTAATACATACATTAGACTTTAAGACAGTTCAAATCAATAGAGGTTTTGCACCACCACGTGACGGCAGCCATGTTAGATGGCAGGAACAATACAATCATTTTACATGAGAAAGAGCTCAATTCCGGAGAGCAAAGGGATTTTATTGTTCTGCCATTTAACCACAGGCAGCCCAAGCAGTATCATGGGATGGGCACGTGATGATGCAAAACCTCTATAGTATAATCTCTGGTTGATAGCACCTGACGGGCAGTGTTTGCCTCTCGTCATTGTAGGCTGGTAATAGATTCATTCAGCTGATTGATACCAAGCAATAGAATACTCTCTGGTTGATAGCACACGACGGGCAGTGTTTGCCTGTCATTGTAGGCTGGTAATGAGATTCATGAGATTCATTCAGCTGATTGATACCAAGCAATAGAATACTTTCTGGTTGATAGCACACGACGGGCAATCTTTCCCTGTCATTATTGTAGGCTGTTAAATAGATTCATGAGATTCCTTTAGCTGATTGATACCAAGTAATAGAATACTCTCTGGTTGATACCACATGAAGGGCAGTGTTTGGCTGCCATTGTAGACTCTTAATAAAATTCATTCAGCTGATTGATACCAAGCAATAGAATACTCTCTGGTTGATAGCACACGACGGGCAGTGTTTGCCTGTCATTATTGTAGGCTGGTAATGAGATTCATGAGATTCATTCACCTGATTGACACCAAGCAAAAGAATACTCTCTTGTTGATAGCACACGACGGGCAGTGTTTGCCTGTCATTATTGTAGGCTGGTAATGAGATTCATGAGATTCATTCACCTGATTGACACCAAGCAATAGAATACTCTCTGGTTGATAGCACACGACGGGCAATCTTTCCCTGTCATTATTGTAGGCTGGTAAAGAGATTCATGAGATTCCTTTAGCTGATTGATACCAAGTAATAGAATACTCTCTGGTTGATAGCACATGAAGGGCAGTGTTTGCCTGTCATTGTAGGCTGGTAAAGAGATTCATGAGATTCCTTTAGCTGATTGATACCAAGCAATAGAATACTCTCTGGTTGATAGCACATGACGGGCAGTCTTTCCCTGTCATTATTGTAGGCTGGTAAAGAGATTCATGAGATTCCTTTAGCTGATTGATACCAAGCAATAGAATACTCTCTGGTTGAATCGAATGGGAAATGGAATGGAGGCGGATGTTAGGGCAATTTGAAAATCTTGATTTTCAACTGCGCTAGTGATATGTTTCAAACTGCAGGAGAACCCATTGGATTTTCTTTTAATATGCAGGCAGGCAGGCAGGCAAGCAGGCAGGGAAGCAGGTAAATAAGAAAAGAAAAATTAGACATAGCAATACAAGGACTAGTTACATATTGAATCTCTTTAGAGCGTTTTCGATCGTTTCAGTGTTGATGCAAGGCCAAGACGCATCGGAAATGCATTAGTGTTAACGAGGCCTAAATGCTATGCTTAATTCAAACAACATTGATGCTGCGACGTCACAAGAACACCAAGAAAAGCATTAAATAGAATAGATTTGTTGACCAGTATCCATTTAATGTTTAGTTTTCTTTTACACAATCTTATACAGCTCTTTCAAAAAGGGTTTACTAAGTGAAGGTTTTGTTCCATCTTGCAGTTTGCTTACTAAGGCCCCGTCCGCAATTTTTTTTTTTTTTTTTGCGGATATGAAAATGTTTGCGACCACACGCAGCGTATTTGAATGGTTTTCACTGTCCACACGTATCCAGAAATTTCATGATCCGCCCTCATGCACGCTAATGCATAGTCCCTTTTACGGATAGTTTTTCTTATTGATCATGCGCAAAATCGTGTTGACGTCATCGTATTCCAAATATTTACAGATACGACCGTCCACACGTATCCGTATTCGAAAATTTCCACTCTAGAGACCGTTTTCGAAAATTTCCGGATACGGATACAAAAATTTCCGGGTACGTGTGGACGGGGCCTAAGCTTGAAATGCATTATATTCATATGCAAATAATGTCATCACAGATAATAGTGTATTATGCCAGAAAAACGTGCAGACAAAGTTTAGGAACATTTCATATCATTGTGACCTTTCGCTGATTGGATTCACATCGTGAATAGAGCATTTCGGGTTCGGCATGTTTTACCCAATTCAAATCTTTGTTTATTATATTCACATGTCATTGAAGCACTGATATGGATATGATATGCAAATAGAGTATACCAAGAAAAGTAATCCAGTAGATTTGTAAAACAATTTGTTAGCCGAGTTGGTCTATTACCCAGATACTCACACACCAAAAGCTGGCAGGTGTTTCTCAAGAGAGAATCAGAGATTATTGTCTTTCTAATGAAAATCTTCAAGTCTATCATCCATCATTACTGTATCACCTGGGCCCTGTTGTACGAAGCCTGAATACCGGCGCTATCCGACGGATAAATCTTATCCAGTAGCTAAATTTATTGGATAACAGCATCAACTTATCTACTGGATAAGGATTTATCCGCCGGATAGCGTTATCCAGGCTTCGTACAACTGGGCCCTGGGGATTGTGAGATATTTAGACTTGGCTTTTAATGGTAAAGGTATTGAAAATGACGTCACTATTCCTGGTGGACTAAATGCATGGGCAGAATCGACACCGATTCCATACAGTTAACATATTTTTTAACGTATGATATTATCCATTCCGGTCGAAAAAAAAACTGGGCGGAGTTGGAATTACAAAGCATTATGGGACATTAAGGAGACATTTGCAAGCCGTCTTCTACTTCGCCCCGCAAAACAGCCCCACAATGCACTGCAATTCCAACTCCACTCAGCTATTTTCTCAACCTCAGAATGGCTATTAGGTAACGAGCGGAGGCGTGCACGACAAAATATTGTACAACAGATTCTAGAAATTCTTTCAATTGTCTTTTTTTTTTCGCAGTGCATTATGGACCAGCATCGGTTTTGTTCGTTTATATGCATCTCTAGACAGGTGTGATAAGGTTAAGATTCTGGTTTGATTGTCACTCCACGTCGAATTTGTCCCCATCCAATCAACCTGCAAATAGAACAGTCACTAAATTTAGGATTTAGGAAAAATACAAAATGGGAAGGGAAAAAGATAACTGTGCATGGGCAGACTATTAATAGCAGCAAAGCGGGATTACACCGTAATGCGCACGAGCAGACCATTATTTGTAGGCAATTATTTGCAGTTATCTTGACCAATGAAAACTCAAAAATAATTTGAATAACAATACTATAATACTGATTAATAATTATTATTAGCATAAAGGCTTTCATACCTCCAATGTTTTTCCACTCGTCTACTCAATGCAATCTTTTCTCCAATTTCTGTGCAGACAGGCTGGGTCAGGATAATCTTGGCTAAATCTGCTTTAACAGCAAGAACACGACCACCAGTAGACAGTGATCCTATGTTGACCGTCAATACTTCATTCTTGGTCAGTTTTGTTACCTAGATTACATAAATGAATGAATTAAAAATAAATAGGATTTCCACAGAGCGGCTCTTCAGTTATTTTCGATGAGAGAGGAAACCCGGAGACCCCGGAGAGAAACAAAGCACAGGAGAAAACCAACAAACAACCTTACAAACATACAGTACGGAACCGAGTCGGCGGGAATCGAATATGTGTCGACTGTAGCCAGAGCCTCTAATTTCTTGGTGCTGCCCAAGAGGAACGTGGGCTCTGGGTACGAGATCATTATGGCTGGGTTCTATTCCTGGACTCAGCTTCACATGTGACGGTAGTTTGTTAGGTCTCCCCCTTAATTTGAGGGTTTTTCTAGTTTCTCTGGTTTTCCTCTCTCCACAAAACCCAACCCTCAAAATCCCAATTCCAATAGACCCCTTTGCAGTTAACAGTCACGTCTCTGTACTGGTGAGCAAGTTTTTTTATTTTATTTCAGATTGGTGATTCTTTTTAGCTACTTGTAAAGAACTGAATGAAACGATGTGTATCCAGTGTGTCACGAAATGCAGCTATATTACGATCTCTCGAAACAGGTTGTAGAAAGTTTGTTTGCTCACCAGTATATTTCACCCATGGGAATCAAGATGTTCATTCACTTGCTCTCAGTGAATTAATCAGCACGTGATTACTAAGCTGCAAAGGGCCTATTTAATCTACGAGTTAGCTGTGCCTTGACTCAGATCTGTCCAAGGTTCGATCCAGGTTCGATAGAATTGAGAGTTATACCAATGTTCTCCATACCTTAGCACCCTTCTTATCTCCCTCAGTTCTCACGCCCAGCAGTCTTCTTAACAGGAAGTAACTGATCTCAAGCTCAGTGTAGATCTCAGGCAAAGCCCCAACAGCTCCAAGCACTTGTCCAACCATCCTATCAGCTCTGCAAAGGGTAGGATCAATCTTGGTTCCCACACCTACAAAGTGCAAAGATTTTAGAAATAAAAGCTACTGTGCTCTAGTC